CCCTCGCCAGGAGCCAGCGCGCCCCCTGCAGCCGTGCCCCCCGACACCTCGCTGCCTCGCACTTGAGACCAGTGTTGGGTGCTCCTTAGAATCCTTTTCATCACAGAAGGAAAAGGGTGATGTCTCCAACCTGGAAACTAAGAAGGAAAAGCACCTTTTGGTGTGATTGCACGTAGCTGTGCACACACCCCACACAAGGCTGCCAGACGAGCTCTTGTTTGTCTCTGTCCCACTAGGGCAGCCGTGCCTGCTGGATGGTGGATGGTGGATGGTGGCCGGGGGGCAGTGGCCAGTGGCCGGGGGGTGGTGGATGGTGGAGGCGGACGGTGACAGCGGGGCCAGGCGCTGACAGAAGACCTGAGAGGAGCAGCCCCTCCAGGCCGCAGGAAGGGGCAGGTGCAGAGTGGGTTTCCTACGACAGACGGGAGTTTGAGACAGACATTAGTTTGAGGCCCGTGGGCAGGACTTGGCCGCCTGAGGAGGAGGGATGGTGACCCTGGGGCCCTCTGCCCACCCAGCCACACACACACCTGCCCACTGGCCCCTGCCGGCCGTCCCGGGCGCGGCCCTCCGCACCTGCTCCTCCCGCATCAGCACCTCCAGACTCCCTCCTCGCTGCTCATTTCCTTCCTGGGCCACTGACACATCTCCCAGGCCTGTCTGTCCCCCAGACTGTGGGCTCTGACCGCGGAGACGTCACTGGCTTGCAGGTAAATACATTCACCTCCGGTCCGGAATGGCCACCTGGCCACAGGTGCACCTGCCTTCCGTATGTGGCGTCTTCTGTACGGCCTGAGGTGGGGACAGGTGGGGGTTAGGGACGGCTAAGGCCATTCCAGCCCACACCTCACCCAACCAAGGCTCCGAGGAGGGCCCCCCGCACCCAGCCAGAGGGCCGCCAAGCGCCGTCACCCAGTGAGCCTGAGAATGACGGTAAGAAGGTGACCTGTCCCTTTAATTTCTTCCCCGGCAAAGCCTCCAGACTACAAAAACAACATTTTAATTTAAATTCCGATTCCACATTCATTCACGGAGCAACTCTGAGCAGGGATTTCATTAAAGGCTTTAATAGATTTTATAGGACTTGTCACATCCGGAAAGGTGATGGAGCAAATGCATTTTCTCTGCCTCCAGAATTTCAACAACGGCTCAGAAAACAAATTTACCGTGAAAATGCAGAGCAGTCCAGCCTTGTACAGACAAGGAGAAGTGACCTCACTGCAGGTGAGCAGAGCCCCGACGGGCCTCCCACTCTGCCGCCCACACCGGGGCCACTGCCACCAAGGAAACCCAAGGACAGGCCGGCCCAGGTGTCAGGCCTCGGACGGCCCACGTACCGCTCCCTGCGGGCGCCGCCGCCTCACCCAGAGCTGGAAGGTGTGCTGGGCGGGCTGCCCTCCCCGCCGGTGGCCCTCTTGGTTTGGGGCACATCCTGACCTTGGACCTGGCGCCGTCCCCTTTCCTGCAGGTGCAGCCGCTCAGACGCCGGAGCAGCTGCCTGTCAGCTCCGCCACACCAGGGGTCGGCACGCAGGCAGGGTGGCCGACGCACAGTCTTAGAACGGAGTCCTGGAAGCCTCCGCTTCGGGCAAACCCCCGCGTACCTGACTCCTTCTCGACAAAACTGCTGCCACCCCGTACCAGGTGGTGCCCGCGTCCGGAAGTGGCTGGTCCTGGAGACCAGCTCTGATTCCGTGCACCTGTGCCAAAATTTCTTGACAGTCATGCAGATGGGGGTCCCAGTCTGCGTTAGGGAGTAGCGTTGCCGGATGTAGGGTTGTTGGTGGCTTGAATAAAATTCTGGTGGGGTTCAGCAGCAGGCTCTGATAATGGGTCAGGCGGGCATTGCTGATCCAGCGGTCCGGGGGATGTTTGAGTTTCCTTTCAATAGCGTGTGGGGTGGTAACATGCAGTTCCTGCCCCATGGCCAGCTTGTCTGCGTCCTTGACCATAGTGGCCACCGCAGCAATAATTTTTAAGCATGGGGGCCATCCAGCGACCACCATGTCCAGCTTTTTGGAGAGATCGGCTATGGGTCTCTTCCGGGCAAGGACCCCTTTTGCCACCCCGTCTTTCTCGTCCACATACAGGTAGAAGGGCTTGGCTAGATCGGGCAACCCGAGAGCCGGGCGGACAGCAAGGTCATTAAAGGCTCTGTTCATGGCCTCTGTCCATTCAAAATTTTGCTGGTGCCTGGTGGCCTCATAGAGGGGTCTGGCCATCTCAGCAAAACCTGGAATCCATAAGTGACAGAACCCTCCTGACCCCCGGAATTCACGTACCTGGCGGACGGTTTGCGGCTGTGGGATCCTTAAGACGGTTTCCTTCCATGCATCCGTCAACATCTGTGTCCATCCTTTAATTCGTACCCAAGGTAGCTCACCTCTGCTCTGCAGGTCTGGGCTTTTTTAGCGGAGGCCCAGTGCCCTAGGGCCGCCATGGTCTGGAGCAAGGCCCTGGTGCCTCGCAGGCATGTGGCCTGGTCCTCCGCCGCCAACAGGGGATCATGTACATATTGCAATAAGGTTAAATGAGGGTGCTCCGAGCGGAACTCACCCAAGTCTTTGTGTAAGGCCTCATCGAAGACGGTCGGTGAATTTTTGAATCCTTGTGGTGGTCGAGTCCAGGTGAGCGGCCGTTGATGCCTTTCTCAGGGCCCGTCCGTTCAAAGACGAAGAGGTCTTGGCTCTTGGGTGCTAAAGGCAGGCTGAAAAAGGCGTCTTTTAAATCTAATACCGTATACCAGGTTTTGTCTGGAGGCAGGGTGGAGAGGAGGGTGTATGGGTTTGGGACCGTAGGGTGCATATCCTCTACTCGCCGGCTGACTTCCCTCAAGTACTGGACAGGCCTGTAATCGTTAGAGTGTGGTTTCTGCACCGGCGGCAAGGGAACGAGTGTTCCATGCCGATCGGCAGGGCCTCAATATACCGGAGGCCAGTGGTCGCAGTATGTGGGGTGTGATTCCCGTACGCACTACAGGAGGCATGGGGGATTGGGGGATTGGCGGACCCTGACAGGGTCTGCCCCCGGCCTTAGTTCTATGTATATGGCCGGTCGGTGCCGGGCCAGCCCAATTCCCCCGGTTTCTGCCCACGCCTGGGGAAATTCCCGCAGCCAACGTTCAATGTCAGTCACTGGGGCTGAGGGTGTTTGGTGGAGATGATATTCGTCTTCTAAACTCAGGACAAGCACCTGAATCAGGTGCCCCTCCTTGTTTAGGATTTTTTCCCCTTCGGGGTGGAAGCAAATTTGTGCCCCCATCTTGGTGAGCAAATCCCTACCTAACAACAGGTAGGGACACCCAGGGATGACCATGAAGGACTGGGATACCCGGCCCGTGCCGAGATCCCCAGTTCTCCAGGTAGTCCATGAGTACTGTTTGGGGCCCGCGGCCCCTTGCACCGTGAAGTCTTGTTTGCCAATTTCTCTTGGGGTTGTAATAAAACCGAGTGTTGTGCCCCAGTGTCCACTAGGAATTTAACAGGTTGCTCCTCCACTCTGAGAGTTACCCTGGGCTCGGGGAAGGGTGCCGAACCCCGACTCCCCTGGTCGTCCAGGTCCTCCATCTCCAAGATCTTGGCAGGGGCCTTAGGTCTTTTGTTAGGGCAGCTTTTCACCCAGTGGCCCTCTTCTTTGCAATGGGCACATTGGTTTTTGTTCAGCTTCAGGCACTCCCGACGGGGACCAGGGCCATCCTCCTCACCTGTCCCTGAAGCCAGCTTCTTGAGGTGCCTCCGTCTTTCCCGTGGGTCGTCCATGGTTGTGGCCAGCAGGATCTTGGCCAGGTTTTGGGTCTGCCGGTCACTTAGTTTGGTTTGCTGCTCTTCCAGGCTTTATTATTATTATAGACTCGTTCTGCCACTATCACTAAGCCCTGCAAGCTCTTCTCTCCCAGTCTCTCTACTCTTTGCAATTTCCTTTTAATGTCCGGAGCAGCCTGGTTAACACAAGCCATGATAATTGCAGCCTTTGTTTCCGGGGCTTCTGGGTTCCTAGGGGTGCACTGCCTAAATGCCTCCATGACTCTAAGAAGGTTGCTGGACTCTCGTCCTTACCCTGTCTCACATCATAGACCTCGGCCAGATTGGTCGGCTTGCGTGCGGCACCCTGGAGACCTGCCCCTAGAGTCTGGCGGTGGACCCGAGTCTCCTTACCTTCAGCTGAGTTGTAGTCCCAGGTGGGGCGGGATAAGGGGAAGGATGAGGTCTAGGTTTGGAGTCAGCTGTCTGTCCCCTCCCAGGACAGACTTCCGGGCTTCCACCTGAATTAGTTCTCTCTCCTCGGTGGTGAAGAGAACCTGCAAGAGCTGCGGGCAGTCCTCCCAAGTAGGCTGGTGGGTAAAGAGAACAGGATCTAAAAGCCCGATTAGATCTCTCAGATTATCAGAGAACTTTGCATTTTGGGTTTTCCAATTATATAAATCACTGGTGGAGAAAGGCCAAAATAACATTAGCTGCCGCCAGTCTCGTGGGGGGGGGGGGGTCCCATGGCGCGGAGGGGAAGGGCGGTGGAGTTGGCCTGGCCCGGCATTCGGAGGTGGGGCCACCTGGTGGATCTGACGGTGTGTCCCTGCCGCAGGCCCTCACATAGGGACTCTCTCATGGGGGGGGCCTTCTGCAGCCCCCGGTGCCTCCAATGCGGGGGGGGGGGGGGGTGGGGGTGGAAGGGGGAGGGTTGCCCAGCAGGGTGGCAGGAGAATCATGTCCTCTGGGAGGAATCCTGCAAGACCGGATAAAGGGGCGCTTGGAGCATAGAGTCGGTCTCCTTCTCAGCTTCCTGCAGGGCTAGAATCTCAGTGGGTCCTGCTTTGGGGGGTAAACATGGTTTTAGCCAAGGAGGAGGATTCTCTTTTTTTTTTAATTTGTTTTTTATTTTTATTTTATGATAGTCATACACAGAGAGAGAGAGAGGCTGAGACACAGGCAGAGGGAGAAGCAGGCTCCATGCACCGGGAGCCCGACGTGGGATTCAATCCCGGGTCTTCAGGATCGCGCCCTGGGCCAAAGGCAGGCGCCAAACCGCGGCGCCACCCAGGGATCCCAGGAGGAGGATTCTCAATCATGTCCTGCCAGATCAGGATGCAGGGAACCTGGTCAGAGTGGCCGTGTGGTTTGTCCCTGGAGATCACGACCTTAACCTGTAAGATAGTAGGTAGGTGGAAAGTTCCTTCTCGGGGCCATCCCACGCCAAAGGTTGGCCATTCTGACATGCAATAAATTTGAAATCTCTCCCTCCGTATGCCTGTGCTCAGAATACAAGCTCTTTCCCTAACATCAGAGAAGTGGGAGAGCATAAGAGACAGGGGGTGGTTTCTGTCTCCCGCATTATGTCCCCAATCCACACCAAGACACAGCAGTAAGGACGATTAACAAGGACCCAGCAACACAGACCAATGCACAGTTAATAGGGACATAGTAACACAGACCAATGTTCCAATGCCACCGCAGAGACAAAACAGAAAGTAACCCGAAGGGCTGGCAGCCGGCCCTCCTTACAGACGAGGACCCCCGTCTGCCTTACACATGAGGACCCCGTCCCCCTTACAGACGAGGACCCCATCTTCCAGGCGGGGGCAAGGGACGTCTTCTCAAGACCCCCGGTCGACGGCCCGCCAGCGCGTCTGCCTAAGCCAATGTCGACCCCATACAGATTGTACTTTTTCCTACAGGTAAAAGTATAGTGTAGAGCTCTCAGAGAATATGCGCAGGAAAAGGTGAAAAAGTTGAGTGCACTCACCACACGTGCAATCCTCCGGATGGGCTCCTGGAGGTCTCGGATCCCGGATGAGCCCCCAGTTGTTGTGCCCAAGATTACGTATCTGAGAAACCACCGAGGAGCCGACACCGATGCAAACACACGAGGGATGATTTACAAGCTCGAGCCTGGGTCCACGTGTACCCGATACGGCGGAGCAGGGACTTGGACCCCGAGGTGGGTTTCAGCCGAGTTTTAAGGGCTGGTCTAGGGGACCTCCGGGGGGGGGGGGAATTCCTCAAGTTCTGTTCTCATTCTGATAAGGGGCTTTCTAGGGTGTTAAGCTGTAAGCTGTTTTTTGTTTTTTTTTTCCTGTAACTGAAGTAAAGTTCAGCTCTTACCCAGGGGCCTGGGATGGCTGGACTGTGCTAACGCTGAACTTAAGGTGGTAGGGCCTCAATTCTCTCAGCTCACACCAACGTGAGCACCCGCAGGCCCGCGTGGGGAGCCAGGACGCCCGGGGCCACGCTTCCTGTGGTCTGCAGACAACCTGAGGAGGTGTCCGTGATCCAGGCCAGCAGTGCTGGTGCACAGTCCCTGGGACCCCCCACCCCCGCTGGGGGGACTGTGCCAGCATCACCCTCAGAAGCAGGCAAATGAGCGGCTCCGCTGCCACCTCGATCTCGGCCCCAGGAGGGGGGGACTCCCGGGAGTAAGACAAAGCCTCAAGGTGGGGTCACGACCTTACCTTCAGAGGTTCATATAACATTTGTACAATTGGGATTGGGGATCCCTGGGGGGCCCAGCGGTTTAGCGTGGCTTTCAGCCCAGGGCGTGATCCTGGGGTCCTGGGATCGAGTTCCACGTCGGGCTCCCTTCATGGAGCCTGCTTCTCCCTCTGCCTGTGTCTCTGCCTCTGCCTCTGCCTCTGTCTCTCTCTATCTGTGTCTATCATAAATAAATAAATATTTTTTAAAAAAATTTGTACGATGACTTGGTTTACATCTTTTGTATTTTTCCCCCCAAGCGCCTCCCACCACTTTTAGGAAAAAGTAGAAACCTCAACTCGGCGCCCCCACCCTCCGTGTTTCCTGTGGGCCCGTCCCCTCCCACCGGCGGTCCCCAGGAGCTGGGAGCCCTGCACGCACCTCCACACGCGGGAGGCCTGGGGTGCAGGGTACTCACTCCGGCAGGCACCCCGCAGCTCGGGGAGCAGGACCCCACAACCCAGGCGCCCACAGGGCCACCCCCCAAGCTTCGGGGTGATGACCCTCCCTCTCTTCTGCAAGCCTCTGGGGCCTCCCGCGCTCCTGGGCCAGCAGACGCTCGTCACCTGGCCTCCTCCTCCATCGTGTCACCTGCTGGGTCTTCTGTGTCTGGGAGCAAGTGTCCGTCTTCCCGTCGAGGTCTGACTCCCGAATGACCTCATCATGACTAATCACATCGGCAAACACCTGACTTCTTCTTTTCTAAGATTTTATTTATTGATTCATGAGAGACCCAGAGAGAGGCAGAGATGCAGGCAGAGGGAGAAGCAGCCTCCCTGCGGGGAGCCTGAGGCAGGACTCGATCCCGGGACCCGGGGTCACACCCTGGGCAGAAGGCAGGTGCTCAGTCACTGAGCCTGACTCCTAAATAAGGTCACATTCACAGGTGCTGGGCTCAGGGCTGGAACCGAGCTTTTTAAGGACGCAGCCCAACCTGCAGCACCGGGTGGGCAGGAACCAGTAAACCCACATGCAGACTCACACTTGGCGACGGTGTCGGAGCCGGGTCGGTGACCGTGACCGAGGGAGCAGATGCCCCGCCCGCCGCCCCAGGAGCAACCCTCGGCTCCTCCCACCAGACTCCAAAACCTGCAGCTCAACCCACAGGACCTCATGCATCACGACCCACCTCCCGCGGCTGGAGCCCGGCGCCGCTCAGAGACCGTGAAACGGGAAGCCCGGGCGCAGAGCTTTCGGGTCTCGTGACTCACAGTGAATCCTGGCGGAGCCCCACATGTTCACACCGGTGGAGACAAGAACCCAAGGACCACCCGCGCCTGAGCCCACCCTGACCAAGCGGGTCCAAGCACGCCCACTGGGTTTGCTCCATGTCTACACTCTCGGGATTACCCGGAAGCAAATCCCCAACATGACCACATCATCTCCTTCATAAATATTCTGATGAGAAGTTTTTAAAGGATTTTACAGACAGAAATGACACGATCCTACTGGGTTCTAGAAAAATCAGTCTCGGGGACGCCTGGGTGGCTCAGCAGCTGAGCGTCTGCCTTCGGTTCAGGGCATGACCCTGGAGACCCGGGATCGAGTCCCACGTCGGGCTCCCTGCCTGGAGCCTGCTTCTCCCTCTGTCTGTGTCCCTGCTTCTCTCTGTGTGTGTGTCTCTATTAATAAATAAATAAAAATCTTTAAAAAGAAAAAAAAAAGAAAAGAAAAATCATCCGGTTCCAAGTAGAGAAAGACAAGAAATGAGTGGAGGCCAAAGGGGACTCGCAGACACAACACGCAAGCTGTGCAACACACGTGCACACTCCACATGCCGTGTAAACATGCACGGCCCAGACTTTGCACGCCTGCTCGCGCCGCCATGTACGTGCATAGCCTCGCACCTGTGTAAGCTCCACGCCTCCGTAGGGCTGACACTTTCACCCACGTCACACAGAAAAGTCAGGTCCCAAAGCCCATCCGGACAGGGCTCCACCTCTGGAGCCCTTCAGGTCGCTGTGCCCTCACCTGGCCCCCGGCCCCCCCTTCTATTGTCCCTCCGGCCTCCCACCCCCCAGATGCCTCCGCGCCCTCAGAATACCCCAGGACCCTCCTCCCTGCTGCCTTGACACTTGGCCGCCAGCGTGGCCTCTGAGCTCTGCGCTGCCCGCCCGGCTGGGAAGCAAGCGGGACTCGGCCCCTCCCCGCCGACCCCTCCGCACCTGCCTCAGAGGCGCCACTGGCCACCTACTGCCCCTCCACCCTTCTGCCCCCTTCCCTCCTGCAGCCAGAATATTTGAAACACAAATGTGGGCGCATCGCTCCACTGCCTAAACCGCCCCCCGCCGTCTCCACACCCATGAACGCCCTCTCTGCAGCCCTGCTGCCCCCCCCAGCCCCGAGGCCTGGCCTTCCCGCCTCCAGCCTCCCGGCTCCCTCTCACCCCCCACCCGCCCGGGTACCACCACTTGCTCCCAGAAGCACCTCTGAGATGGCACCTCTCTGCGGAGCCGCCGTGAGCCCGCCGACGCTGGCCCACCTGCGACAAGCCACTAGCCTGACGAAGCTCAGCCCCGGATGGAGCTCTGGGAGGTGAGGCCCCCGTGGCCCGGAATCTTCAGGAATGAGGGCACCCAGGGACCCGGCTGGGGTCACCCGCGGGCCTGTCCGCCTCCCTGCAGCAGTGCTCACAGCTGGCCACTGGGTGTCAGGCTCGGGCTGCGTTGCAGGAACCGCCCGCCGAGGTCTGGGGATCCTGCCCCTGTACCCCGGCCTCGGAAGGCTGCCCCTGGCTGGACAGCCGAGCTGAGGGGCCGCGTGAAGAGGGGGCATCACGCTGCGTCGGGCCCGTGGAGGCCTCCTGGTTTCCAGTTCCCGGCCCAGCGAGATCCCCCAGCACACCCACCTGCAGGACTCCACCCCTGCACCTGGCTGCTCCCCCACCTGCAGGACTCCACCCCTGCACCTGGCTGCTCCCAGCCTTGAGGGCGCCCCCCCGCCGCTCCCCGTCCCGCTCGCAGCTCACAGGAGGCCACTATGGGTTCCAGGCGTCCCTCTGAGTCGCCTGAGCCCCAGGCTGAAACCCCAGAGCAGCCCAGAGCACCCCGGGCGGGGGGCGCAGAGCCCTTCCAGCCTCGGCCCGCACCAGCCACCGCCCGCGGCAGGAGAAGCAGGGCCCCGGCTCGACCGATGAGGAAACAGAGGCTCAGAGCGCTTGAGACCTCACCCTGGGTCACAGCAGATACAGGCCCCGCGGCGGTGCAGGAGCCCGCGGCCAGGCCAGCCCCGAGCCCTGAGGGGCCCCACACCTCCCCTGCGCCGCAGCCCCGGCCCGCAGCTGCCTCCACGGCCTGCACACCCGGCCGGCACACGCACGCTCGGCCACACCTGCACGCACAGCCCGCGCCTCCGACCACCTGAGCTCTGAGGTCTTCCTCTCGGCAGAAAGCCCGCCTGCCGCCCCTCCCTCCCTGGGCACCCGGCTCAGCGCATTGGGGGGCCGGATGCTCCCAGACCCCACGGGAGGCAGGAGCCAAGGCGCGTGGCCCGCAGGACGTGTGACCAGAAGGGCCCGGACGGGTGGCATCCCTCCCACGACTGGAGCTCGGGCTCTCTGGAGGGCGGGGCAGGGCTGCGTCCTTGGCTGGCCCCTTCCCCTGACCCGGCCCCAGGGACCAGAGCCAAGCCGAGCTGTGTGGGTGGGCCCCGCGTGGAGGGACAGGCCCTGCCCACCTCCGGAGCCCTCCCCTGGCCCGGCCTCTGCTCTGAACCATGGCTCTGCAGGACCTGGCATGAGCGTGACTCAGCCTTGCCCGCCCACTGACCTGTGGCACACACCTGCTGGTGGATGGCCCGTCCCCGGGTGCTTCTGCGGGGCCACTGGGGACACAGGTGGGGGCGCCACCATACCCCCATGTCCCACCCCCTGCACGTCTACATACACAGATGCCCCGTGCCCTCCCCCTCGAGCCCCAGGCACCTGCGTCCTCCCTGCACCGCCCACACGCACAGAGTGGCCAGGGCTGCCGCTGGAGATCGGAGGTCGGGACGAGCCAGCCCTCCCCCCGCTCACCCCAAGAGCGCCAAGACCTCGGAGACATGCCTCAGACTAGGGGGCGGGGGGGTCAGCTCCCAGCGGGGCCTGTTGTGGCTGTGGGAGCCCAGGCAGCGGGGGGGATGCCGCCCCGTGAAGCTGCGCACACCTGCTGCTGTCCGTCCTCTGCCCCCGGCCTCCTGGGCTGCGTGTCGGGGCAGCAGCAAGCAGTGAGCTCTCTGGGACTGGACCCGAATGACCCCCCCCCTGCCCCCGGCTGACAAGAGCTGGGCTGCCTCCTTCCTGCCTGGAGTGCAAGTGATCTAGAAGCTTCTCAGCTTGCGTCTGGAGGGCAAAAGGCAGCGCCCGTGGGCAGGGCAGGCCCCGCAGGCCACGAGCAGCCGTCCAAGCCGCAGCCCTGCCTCCAGGACCGGCCAGTCGCGCCTGGGCGCTGCCCTGTCCTCCTCCCGGACCCACGTCCCGGGCTCCGCCAGGACCGTCCCCTGGGCTCCTTGGCCCTCCCACCCTCACCTCACAGACCCTGCTCACCGGGGTCTTCCCTCAAGACCTCCACATGGACAGACGGATGGATGGACGAGAGCAAGGACCCCCAGCAGGGAGATGCACGGCGCCCTTCCTCCCAAGAGCCCCCCTTCGCCGGTGGCCACTGTCCTCAATGCACACGCGCCCAAGGCACCGTCTCGGCCTCCCCACCGCAGGCCTCGTCCCGGGGCAGGTGTCACCACCTCTCTGCCGGGGGCGGCCCCACGGGGCCAGGAAGCTTCTCCTCCTGGTCCCTGCCACGCTCTGGCCCAACACTCAGGCAGCAGATGGCTCTGAGCCCGGGGCAGGGTATCCGAGAGCTGACTGAGCAAGTCTGGTGGCCCCAAGGCCTCCCCCCCACCCCGAGCCCGAGGCCTCCCTCACGGTGCAGCAAGGCACCCCAGGCCCCGGCCATCCCGGCACAGCCCTGTGCCCACCCCCGTGGGGCGGGGAGACCTGCAGCAGGGAGCTGCCCTGCTTCATGCGTCCAGGGCGCTCTCGGTGTCCCAGGTCCCACCGCGGGGACGTGCGGCCCAAACCCCTGGTCTTTCCAGGAGCCGAGCTGCTCAGTCACCTGCCGGGAAGCAGCGGGGCCCAGGCCAGCAGCTGCCCCTGTC